GCCCTGCAAGTGTACTGACCTGCTCAACAGAAAACCACATAAGAAATTTTAGCAACTACCACCCACAGTTTCCGCCCAGTTTCGAACTGGGGACCTTTCGCGTGTGAGGCGAACGTGATAACCACTACACTACGGAAACATGTCTTCTGGGTGCATACAGAAATCTTCTGGTGCACGCTTGTTAAAAAGTGTATAAAGGAAAAGTGAGCTGAACCCTCCTATTGTGGCAAACAGTTTAAATTTTCTGTCAAAACCCGACTGCTGTTTCTGCTCGGTTTCGAGCCGAGGACCTTTCGCGTGTTAGGCGAACGTGATGACCACTACACTACAGAAACCTCGTGATGTGTCACATGTGCTTTTTTCGAAGATGGCTCCATCCCATAATCTTTCCTGCAAGCAATGTGACAATCTGTGTAAATTCCACAAACAACAGATAAGAGCTCATTCGGAATGGCAGTCTGCCTACAGCTCCTTGGTACGATGGCCTTCACCTATTTCAAAAGTCCAAGGACTTTGTAGCGAATTTCAGCATATATATTAAAAACGGCTTCACTTGTTTCCGCCCAGTTTCGAACTGAGGACCTTTCGCGTGTAAAGCGAACGTGACAACCACTACACTACGGAAACGTGATTTGAAAAACAGTCCGACCTCTTCTAGCGTACGCTTGTTCAAAAGCGACTGAAACAATAGACTGCCCAGTGTTCTTAAAATGGCAAAAAGCTGCTATTTTTGGTGGCAGACGAAACATTCTTTATTACTCTACAGGAAACCTCAATGGTCATTTGTTTTGTTTTAGTCCTTTTCTAAAGAGTTTACGCCGCAAATCGCCCTGCAAGTGTACTGACCTGCTCAACAGAAAACCACATAAGAAATTTTAGCAACTACCACCCACAGTTTCCGCCCAGTTTCGAACTGGGGACCTTTCGCGTGTGAGGCGAACGTGATAACCACTACACTACGGAAACATGTCTTCTGGGTGCATACAGAAATCTTCTGGTGCACGCTTGTTAAAAAGTGTATAAAGGAAAAGTGAGCTGAACCCTCCTATTGTGGCAAACAGTTTAAATTTTCTGTCAAAACCCGACTGCTGTTTCTGCTCGGTTTCGAGCCGAGGACCTTTCGCGTGTTAGGCGAACGTGACGACCACTACACTACAGAAACCTCGTGATGTGTCACATGTGCTTTTTTCGAAGATGGCTCCATCCCATAATCTTTCCTGCAAGCAATGTGACAATCTGTGTAAATTCCACAAACAACAGATAAGAGCTCATTCGGAATGGCAGTCTGCCTACAGCTCCTTGGTACGATGGCCTTCACCTATTTCAAAAGCGTACGCTTGTTCAAAAGCGACTGAAACAATAGACTGCCCAGTGTTCTTAAAATGGCAAAAAGCTGCTATTTTTGGTGGCAGACGAAACATTCTTTATTACTCTACAGGAAACCTCAATGGTCATTTGTTTTGTTTTAGTCCTTTTCTAAAGAGTTTACACCACAAATCGCCCTGCAAGTGTACTGACCTGCTCAACAGAAAACCACATAAGTAATTTTAGCAACTACCACCCACAGTTTCCGCCCAGTTTCGAACGGGGGACCTTTCGCGTGTGAGGCGAACGTGATAACCACTACACTACGGAAACATGTCTTCTGGGTGCATACAGAAATCTTCTGGTGCACGCTTGTTAAAAAGTGTATAAAGGAAAAGTGAGCTGAACCCTCCTATTGTGTCAAACAGTTTAAATTTTCTGTCAAAACCCGACTGCTGTTTCTGCTTGGTTTCGAACCAAGGACCTTTCGCGTGTTAGGCGAACGTGATGACCACTACACTACAGAAACCTCATGATGTGTCACATGTGCTTTTTTCGTAGATGGCTCCATCCCATAATCTTTCCTGCAAGCAATGTGACAATCTGTGTAAATTCCACAAACAACAGATAAGAGCTCATTCGGAATGGCAGTCTGCCTACAGTTCCTTGGTACGATGGCCTTCACCTATTTCAAAAGCGTACGCTTGTTCAAAAGCGACTGAAACAATAGACTGCCCAGTGTTCTTAAAATGGCAAAAAGCTGCTATTTTTGGTGGCAGACGAAACATTCTTTATTACTCTACAGGAAACCTCAATGGTCATTTGTTTTGTTTTAGTCCTTTTCTAAAGAGTTTACACCGCAAATCGCCCTGCAAGTGTACTGACCTGCTCAACAGAAAACCACATAAGAAATTTTAGCAACTACCACCCACAGTTTCCGCCCAGTTTCAAACTGGGGACCTTTCACGTGTGAGGCGAACGTGATAACCACTACACTACGAAAACATGTCTTCTGGGCGCATACAGAAATCTTCTGGTGCACGCTTGTTAAAAAGTGTATAAAGGAAAAGTGAGCTGAACCCTCCTATTGTGGCAAACAGTTTAAATTTTCTGTCAAAACCCGACTGCTGTTTCTGCTCGGTTTCGAACCGAGGACCTTTCGCGTGTTAGGCGAACGTGATGACCACTACACTACAGAAACCTCATGATGTGTCACATGTGCTTTTTTCGAAGATGGCTCCATCCCATAATCTTTCCTGCAAGCAATGTGACAATCTGTGTAAATTCCACAAACAACAGATAAGAGCTCATTCGGAATGGCAGTCTGCCTACAGCTCCTTGGTACGATGGCCTTCACCTATTTCAAAAGTCCAAGGACTTTGTAGCGAATTTCAGCATTTATATTAAAAACGGCTTCACTTGTTTCCGCCCAGTTTCGAACTGAGGACCTTTCGCGTGTAAAGCGAACGTGATAACCACTACACTACGGAAACGTGATTTGGAAAACAGTCCGACCTCTTCTAGCGTACGCTTGTTCAAAAGCGACTGAAACAATAGACTGCCCAGTGTTCTTAAAATGGCAAAAAGCTGCTATTTTTGGTGGCAGACGAAACATTCTTTATTACTCTACAGCAGTGGTTCTCAACCTTTTTTGGGCCAGCGCCCCCTATCCAATATCCAGGTCCCCGACCGCCCCCCACCCCCAAACTAATGAGCGAGCAGGAACGAGTAACAGATGAAATAAGTACAAAATTGTCATTTATTAATACAATCGAACTATACTCCACAGCGATTAATCCAAAAAACAAGCTATACACTGCATTGAATAGCAATAGCAGTGTTTCTCACAGGATTTTTGGTAAATCTGTGGTGGGTGAACTTCGGGCCTTCTAGGGGGGTTCGGGGGGCAAGCCCCCCGTAAGAAAAATGTGTGCATTTTAATGTTAAATGCATCAATCTGGTGCACTTTGAGAGTTCAAAATTAAAAGCTCCAACCCATATTCAGTGTTCAAATTAAACAAAGAAAAATTCAAACCTCTTTTAGTTGTGTTTGTCTACATTACACTAATACATAATAATAGTTATATTATATTAATCCCATGACATAAATAGCCATATATTATAAAACAAATGCACTGAAAAATAAAGGACAGTCATTAAAGCGGTAATGTTTGCACGTAGGTTTTATTAGCATTTAGGAGAGTATTGCAAGAAGCTGCTTACATTAACCTTACTTAAAAATAAATATACAATCATGATTTTTCATGAAAAATTATGTTAAAATTGTAGGCCTAAAATACCTTGGTATCAGGTATAATTAATACAATTACAATTAATTTGGTTTGTCGTGATTAATTTGTTTTCATAATCAGTTAAAAGAAAAATCTTCTAACAAGAATAAACACACGAACAATTCAATTATTATTGTATTATTAATTGTTTTTATATCTTGAAACTAACGTTACCCAAGCAGCGTTTCGCTCTCAGATGTGATGGCGGAATGAATAGCCTACATTACCAAAATGTGATTGCAGAATATATTTAAATATTAATATAATATAAAAATTATCCATCAAATTGTCATTTTCAAATTGAGTTAACAATAATGCCTGACCAGTAAATTACTTGGTGAACAAAGAAAACATTTTGGCATTAGGCATTGGAATTAGTTAATGCCTAAAAAATTTTAAGTTTTACCTTATAAATAGAATTTAGTTTAATTTTGAAATTCGTCGCCGGAGTAAATGGGAACATGATTTATTGAAAATATTTGAAAAAATAGAAGTGTTTCAATACTTAAGTCAATACTTTTTAATGGCATGTCAACTTTCCATTCCTCCGCTGCGTGACTCTAGCCAGCGCTGGATTGTTGTCAGCGCGAAACACATGTTTGAGCGCGTGAATGCAGATTCTAGCCAGCGCTGGATTCTAGTCAGAGCGCTGGTCTATAACTGGAAAAATAATATAGTCGTTGCAAAAGTAACGATACATAGCTTAGGCTACATGTACATTAAACTGGAAGAAGAATCACAACAAGCGTGTCGGTGAGAACACTCATTTAAACAGCATTCACACCCGAACTTGACTGCACATTATATTTTTGACATTATTGATACTGCTTTCAATCGTAATGCAATAGAAATGAACACAAAAAACCTGCTAGTATACTGACGGTGGACTTGCGGTCAGGAGTAGGCTAGAACGGCCGCGGACGAATGATTTTCTTTTTTTTATTTGAGCGCTGCTGACGTTTTCTTTCACGCGCACCATAGACGTGCGCGCACACACAATATGACATCACAATCTACGCATATGTTTTACAACATAATTTAACATATATGGTCCTAACACTTTTTTAATAGCCCACTTAAAGTGTTTATTACAAATAAATTACTAAATGCTTAAAATGAATCACAGTAAATGAACACAAATTTCCGTTACTCGTGAACGCCCCCCATTAACACCTGAACGCCCCCCTTTCAAGACTCTTGCGTCTAACGCCCCCCGTTGTTCTCTGAACGCCCCCTGGGGGGCGGTACCGCCCCCGTTGAGAACCACTACTCTACAGGAAACCTCAATGGTCATTTGTTTTGTTTTAGTCCTTTTCTAAAGAGTTTACACCGCAAATCGCCCTGCAAGTGTACTGACCTGCTCAACAGAAAACCACATAAGAAATTTTAGCAACTACCACCCAAAGTTTCCACCCAGTTTCGAAACGGGGGACCTTTCGCGTGTGAGGCGAACGTGATAACCACTACACTACGGAAACATGTCTTCTGGGTGCATACAGAAATCTTCTGGTGCACGCTTGTTAAAAAGTGTATAAAGGAAAAGTGAGCTGAACCCTCCTTTTGTGGCAAACAGTTTAAATTTTCTGTCAAAACCCAACTGCTGTTTCTGCTCGGTTTCGAACCGAGGACCTTTCGCGTGTTAGGCAAACGTGATGACCACTACACTACAGAAACCTCATGATGTGTCACATGTGCTTTTTTCGAAGATGGCTCCATCCCATAATCTTTCCTGCAAGCAATGTGACAATCTGTGTAAATTCCACAAACAACAGATAAGAGCTCATTCGGAATGGCAGTCTGCCTACAGTTCCTTGGTACGATGGCCTTCACCTATTTCAAAAGCGTACGCTTGTTCAAAAGCGACTGAAACAATAGACTGCCCAGTGTTCTTAAAATGGCAAAAAGCTGCTATTTTTGGTGGCAGACGAAACATTCTTTATTACTCTACAGGAAACCTCAATGGTCATTTGTTTTGTTTTAGTCCTTCTCTAAAGAGTTGACACCGCAAATCGCCCTGCAAGTGTACTGACCTGCTCAACAGAAAACCACATTAAAAATTTTAGCAACTACCACCCACAGTTTCCGCCCAGTTTCGAACTGGGGACCTTTCGCGTGTGAGGCGAACGTGATAACCACTACACTACGAAAACATGTCTTCTGGGTGCATACAGAAATCTTCTGGTGCACGCTTGTTAAAAATTGTATAAAGGAAAAGTGAGCTGAACCCTCCTATTGTGGCAAACAGTTTAAATTTTCTGTCAAAACCCAACTGCTGTTTCTGCTCGGTTTCGAACCGAGGACCTTTCGCGTGTTAAGCAAACGTGATGACCACTACACTACAGAAACCTCAAGATGTGTCACATGTGCTTTTTTCGAAGATGGCTCCATCCCATAATCTTTCCTGCAAGCAATGTGACAATCTGTGTAAATTCCACAAACAACAGATAAGAGCTCATTCGGAATGGCAGTCTGCCTACAGCTCCTTGGTACGATGGCCTTCACCTATTTCAAAAGCGTACGCTTGTTCAAAAGCGACTGAAACAATAGACTGCCCAGTGTTCTTAAAATGGCAAAAAGCTGCTATTTTTGGTGGCAGACGAAACATTCTTTATTACTCTACAGGAAACCTCAATGGTCATTTGTTTTGTTTTAGTCCTTTTCTAAAGAGTTTACACCGCAAATCGCCCTGCAAGTGTACTGACCTGCTCAACAGAAAACCACATAAGAAATTTTAGCAACTACCACCCACAGTTTCCGCCCAGTTTCGAACTGGGGACCTTTCGCGTGTGAGGCGAACGTGATAACCACTACACTACGGAAACATGTCTTCTGGGTGCAAACAGAAATTCTCTGGTGCACGCTTGTTAAAAAGTGTATAAAGGAAAAGTGAGCTGAACCCTCCTATTGTGGCAAACAGTTTAAATTTTCTGTCAAAACCCGACTGCTGTTTCTGCTCGGTTTCGAGCCAGGGACCTTTCGCGTGTTAGGCGAACGTGACGACCACTACACTACAGAAACCTCGTGATGTGTCACATGTGCTTTTTTCGAAGATGGCTCCATCCCATAATCTTTCCTGCAAGCAATGTGACAATCTGTGTAAATTCCACAAACAACAGATAAGAGCTCATTCGGAATGGCAGTCTGCCTACAGCTCCTTGGTACGATGGCCTTCACCTATTTCAAAAGCGTACGCTTGTTCAAAAGCGACTGAAACAATAGACTGCCCAGTGTTCTTAAAATGGCAAAAAGCTGCTATTTTTGGTGGCAGACGAAACATTCTTTATTACTCTACAGGAAACCTCAATGGTCATTTGTTTTGTTTTAGTCCTTTTCTAAAGAGTTTACACCGCAAATCGCCCTGCAAGTGTACTGACCTGCTCAACAGAAAACCACATAAGAAATTTGAGCAACTACCACCCACAGTTTCCGCCCAGTTTCGAACTGGGGACCTTTCGCGTGTGAGGCGAACGTGATAACCACTACACTACGGAAACATGTCTTCTGGGTGCATACAGAAATTCTCTGGTGCACGCTTGTTAAAAAGTGTATAAAGGAAAAGTGAGCTGAACCCTCCTGTTGTGGCAAACAGTTTAAATTTTCTGTCAAAACCCGACTGCTGTTTCTGCTCGGTTTCGAGCCGAGGACCTTTCGCGTGTTAGGCGAACGTGATGACCAATACACTACAGAAACCTCGTGATGTGTCACATGTGCTTTTTTCGAAGATGGCTCCATCCCATAATCTTTCCTGCAAGCAATGTGACAATCTGTGTAAATTCCACAAACAACAGATAAGAGCTCATTCGGAATGGCAGTCTGCCTACAGCTCCTTGGTACGATGGCCTTCACCTATTTCAAAAGTCCAAGGACTTTGTAGCGAATTTCAGCATATATATTAAAAACGGCTTCACTTGTTTCCGCCCAGTTTCGAACTGAGGACCTTTCGCGTGTAAAGCGAACGTGATAACCACTACACTACGGAAACGTGATTTGAAAAACAGTCCGACCTCTTCTAGCGTACGCTTGTTCAAAAGCGACTGAAACAATAGACTGCCCAGTGTTCTTAAAATGGCAAAAAGCTGCTATTTTTGGTGGCAGACGAAACATTCTTTATTACTCTACAGGAAACCTCAATGGTAATTTGTTTTGTTTTAGTCCTTTTCTAAAGAGTTTACACCGCAAATCGCCCTGCAAGTGTACTGACCTGCTCAACAGAAAACCACATAAGAAATTTTAGCAACTACCACCAACAGTTTCCGCCCAGTTTCAAACTGGGGACCTTTCACGTGTGAGGCGAACGTGATAACCACTACACTACGAAAACATGTCTTCTGGGCGCATACAGAAATCTTCTGGTGCACGCTTGTTAAAAAGTGTATAAAGGAAAAGTGAGCTGAACCCTCCTATTGTGGCAAACAGTTTAAATTTTCTGTCAAAACCCGACTGCTGTTTCTGCTCGGTTTCGAACCGAGGACCTTTCGCGTGTTAGGCGAACGTGATGACCACTACACTACAGAAACCTCATGATGTGTCACATGTGCTTTTTTCGAAGATGGCTCCACCCCATAATCTTTCCTGCAAGCAATGTGACAATCTGTGTAAATTCCACAAACAACAGATAAGAGCTCATTCGGAATGGCAGTCTGCCTACAGCTCCTTGGTACGATGGCCTTCACCTATTTCAAAAGCGACTGAAACAATAGACTGCCCAGTGTTCTTAAAATGGCAAAAAGCTGCTATTTTTGGTGGCAGACGAAACATTCTTTATTACTCTACAGGAAACCTCAATGGTCATTTGTTTTGTTTTAGTCCTTTTCTAAAGAGTTGACACCGCAAATCGCCCTGCAAGTGTACTGACCTGCTCAACAGAAAACCACATTAAAAATTTTAGCAACTACCACCCACAGTTTCCACCCAGTTTCGAACTGGGGACCTTTCGCGTGTGAGGCGAACGTGATAACCACTACACTACGAAAACATGTCTTCTGGGTGCATACAGAAATCTTCTGGTGCACGCTTGTTAAAAAGTGTATAAAGGAAAAGTGAGCTGAACCCTCCTATTGTGGCAAGCAGTTTAAATTTTCTGTCAAAACCCAACTGCTGTTTCTGCTCGGTTTCGAACCGAGGACCTTTCGCGTGTTAGGCAAACGTGATGACCACTACACTACAGAAACCTCATGATGTGTCACATGTGCTTTTTTCGAAGATGGCTCCATCCCATAATCTTTCCTGCAAGCAATGTGACAATCTGTGTAAATTCCACAAACAACAGATAAGAGCTCATTCGGAATGGCAGTCTGCCTACAGTTCCTTGGTACGATGGCCTTCACCTATTTCAAAAGCGTACGCTTGTTCAAAAGCGACTGAAACAATAGACTGCCCAGTGTTCTTAAAATGGCAAAAATCTGCTATTTTTGGTGGCAGACGAAACATTCTTTATTACTCTACAGGAAACCTCAATGGTCATTTGTTTTGTTTTAGTCCTTTTCTAAAGAGTTGACACCGCAAATCGCCCTGCAAGTGTACTGACCTGCTCAACAGAAAACCACATTAAAAATTTTAGCAACTACCACCCACAGTTTCCACCCAGTTTCGAACTGGGGACCTTTCGCGTGTGAGGCGAACGTGATAACCACTACACTACGAAAACATGTCTTCTGGGTGCATACAGAAATCTTCTGGTGCACGCTTGTTAAAAAGTGTATAAAGGAAAAGTGAGCTGAACCCTCCTATTGTGGCAAACAGTTTAAATTTTCTGTCAAAACCCGACTGCTGTTTCTGCTCGGTTTCGAGCCGAGGACCTTTCGCGTGTTAGGCGAACGTGATGACCACTACACTACAGAAACCTCATGATGTGTCACATGTGCTTTTTTCGAAGATGGCTCCATCCCATAATCTTTCCTGCAAGCAATGTGACAATCTGTGTAAATTCCACAAACAACAGATAAGAGCTCATTCGGAATGGCAGTCTGCCTACAGCTCCTCGGTACGATGGCCTTCGCCTATTTCAAAAGTCCAAGGACTTTGTAGCGAATTTCAGCATATATATTAAAAACGGCTTCACTTGTTTCCGCCCAGTTTCGAACTGAGGACCTTTCACGTGTAAAACGAACGTGATAACCACTACACTACGGAAACGTGATTTGAAAAACAGTCCGACCTCTTCTAGCGTACGCTTGTTCAAAAGCGACTGAAACAATAGACTGCCCAGTGTTCTTAAAATGGCAAAAAGCTGCTATTTTTGGTGGCAGACGAAACATTCTTTATTACTCTACAGGAAACCTCAATGGTCATTTGTTTTGTTTTAGTCCTTTTCTAAAGAGTTTACACCGCAAATCGCCCTGCAAGTGTACTGACCTGCTCAACAGAAAACCACATAAGAAATTTTAGCAACTACCACCCAAAGTTTCCGCCCAGTTTCGAACTGGGGACCTTTCACGTGTGAGGCGAACGTGATAACCACTACACTACGGAAACATGTCTTCTGGGTGCATACAGAAATCTTCTGGTGCACGCTTGTTAAAAAGTGTATAAAGGAAAAGTGAGCTGAACCCTCCTATTGTGGCAAACAGTTTAAATTTTCTGTCAAAACCCAACTGCTGTTTCTGCTCGGTTTCGAACCGAGGACCTTTCGCGTGTTAAGCAAACGTGATGACCACTACACTACAGAAACCTCAAGATGTGTCACATGTGCTTTTTTCGAAGATGGCTCCATCCCATAATCTTTCCTGCAAGCAATGTGACAATCTGTGTAAATTCCACAAACAACAGATAAGAGCTCATTCGGAATGGCAGTCTGCCTACAGCTCCTTGGTACGATGGCCTTCACCTATTTCAAAAGCGACTGAAACAATAGACTGCCCAGTGTTCTTAAAATGGCAAAAAGCTGCTATTTTTGGTGGCAGACGAAACATTCTTTATTACTCTACAGGAAACCTCAATGGTCATTTGTTTTGTTTTAGTCCTTTTCTAAAGAGTTTACACCGCAAATCGCCCTGCAAGTGTACTGACCTGCTCAACAGAAAACCACATAAGAAATTTTAGCAACTACCACCCAAAGTTTCCGCCCAGTTTCGAACTGGGGACCTTTCGCGTGTGAGGCGAACGTGATAACCACTACACTACGGAAACATGTCTTCTGGGTGCATACAGAAATCTTCTGGTGCACGCTTGTTAAAAAGTGTATAAAGGAAAGTGAGCTGAACCCTCCTATTGTGGCAAACAGTTTAAATTTTCTGTCAAAACCCAACTGCTGTTTCTGCTCGGTTTCGAACCGAGGACCTTTCGCGTGTTAAGCAAACGTGATGACCACTACACTACAGAAAACTCAAGATGTGTCACATGTGCTTTTTTCGAAGATGGCTCCATCCCATAATCTTTCCTGCAAGCAATGTGACAATCTGTGTAAATTCCACAAACAACAGATAAGAGCTCATTCGGAATGGCAGTCTGCCTACAGCTCCTTGGTACGATGGCCTTCACCTATTTCAAAAGCGACTGAAACAATAGACTGCCCAGTGTTCTTAAAATGGCAAAAAGCTGCTATTTTTGGTGGCAGACGAAACATTCTTTATTACTCTACAGGAAACCTCAATGGTCATTTGTTTTGTTTTAGTCCTTTTCTAAAGAGTTTACACCGCAAATCGCCCTGCAAGTGTACTGACCTGCTCAACAGAAAACCACATAAGAAATTTTAGCAACTACCACCCAAAGTTTCCGCCCAGTTTCGAACTGGGGACCTTTCGCGTGTGAGGCGAACGTGATAACCACTACACTACGGAAACATGTCTTCTGGGTGCATACAGAAATCTTCTGGTGCACGCTTGTTAAAAAGTGTATAAAGGAAAAGTGAGCTGAACCCTCCTATTGTGGCAAACAGTTTAAATTTTTTGTCAAAACCCAACTGCTGTTTCTGCTCGGTTTCGAACCGAGGACCTTTCGCGTGTTAAGCAAACGTGATGACCACTACACTACAGAAACCTCAAGATGTGTCACATGTGCTTTTTTCGAAGATGGCTCCATCCCATAATCTTTCCTGCAAGCAATGTGACAATCTGTGTAAATTCCACAAACAACAGATAAGAGCTCATTCGGAATGGCAGTCTGCCTACAGCTCCTCGGTACGATGGCCTTCACCTATTTCAAAAGTCCAAGGACTTTGTAGCGAATTTCAGCATATATATTAAAAACGGCTTCACTTGTTTCCGCCCAGTTTCGAACTGAGGACCTTTCACGTGTAAAGCGAACGTGATAACCACTACACTACGGAAACATGATTTGAAAAACAGTCCGACCTCTTCTAGCGTACGCTTGTTCAAAAGCGACTGAAACAATAGACTGCCCAGTGTTCTTAAAATGGCAAAAAGCTGCTATTTTTGGTGGCAGACGAAACATTCTTTATTTCTCTACAGGAAACCTCAATGGTCATTTGTTTTGTTTTAGTTCCTTGCTAAAGAGTTTACACCGCAAATCGCCCTGCAAGTGTACTGACCTGCTCAACAGAAAACCACATAAGAAATTTTAGCAACTACCACCCACAGTTTCCGCCCAGTTTCGAACTGGGGACCTTTCGCGTGTGAGGCGAACGTGATAACCACTACACTACGGAAACATGTCTTCTAGGTGCATACAGAAATCTTCTGGTGCACGCTTGTTAAAAAGTGTATAAAGGAAAAGTGAGCTGAACCCTCCTATTGTGGCAAACAGTTTAAATTTTCTGTCAAAACCCGACTGCTGTTTCTGCTCGGTTTCGAACCGAGGACCTTTTGCGTGTTAGGCGAACGTGATGACCACTACACTACAGAAACCTCATGATGTGTCACATGTGCTTTTTTCGAAGATGGCTCCATCCCATAATCTTTCCTGCAAGCAATGTGACAATCTGTGTAAATTCCACAAACAACAGATAAGAGCTCATTCGGAATGGCAGTCTGCCTACAGCTCCTTGGTACGATGGCCTTCACCTATTTCAAAAGCGACTGAAACAATAGACTGCCCAGTGTTCTTAAAATGGCAAAAAGCTGCTATTTTTGGTGGCAGACGAAACATTCTTTATTACTCTACAGGAAACCTCAATGGTCATTTGTTTTGTTTTAGTCCTTTTCTAAAGAGTTTACACCGCAAATCGCCCTGCAAGTGTACTGACCTGCTCAACAGAAAACCACATAAGAAATTTTAGCAACTATCACCCACAGTTTCCGCCCAGTTTCAAACTGGGGACCTTTCGCGTGTGAGGCGAACGTGATAACCACTACACTACCAAAACATGTCTTCTGGGCGCATACAGAAATCTTCTGGTGCACGCTTGTTAAAAAGTGTATAAAGGAAAAGTGAGCTGAACCCTCCTTTTGTGGCAAACAGTTTAAATTTTCTGTCAAAACCCGACTGCTGTTTCTGCTCGGTTTCGAACCGAGGACCTTTCGCGTGTTAGGCGAACGTGATGACCACTACACTACAGAAACCTCATGATGTGTCACATGTGCTTTTTTCGAAGATGGCTCCATCCCATAATCTTTCCTGCAAGCAATGTGACAATCTGTGTAAATTCCACAAACAACAGATAAGAGCTCATTCGGAATGGCAGTCTGCCTACAGCTCCTTGGTACGATGGCCTTCACCTATTTCAAAAGCGACTGAAACAATAGACTGCCCAGTGTTCTTAAAATGGCAAAAAGCTGCTATTTTTGGTGGCAGACGAAACATTCTTTATTACTCTACAGGAAACCTCAATGGTCATTTGTTTTGTTTTAGTCCTTTTCTAAAGAGTTTACACCGCAAATCGCCCTGCAAGTGTACTGACCTGCTCAACAGAAAACCACATAAGAAATTTTAGCAACAACCACCTAAAGTTTCCGCCCAGTTTCGAACTGGGGACCTTTCGCGTGTGAGGCGAACGTGATAACCACTACACTACGAAAACATGTCTTCTGGGCGCATACAGAAATCTTCTGGTGCACGCTTGTTAAAAAGTGTATAAAGGAAAAGTGAGCTGAACCCTCCTTTTGTGGCAAACAGTTTAAATTTTCTGTCAAAACCCGACTGCTGTTTCTGCTCGGTTTCGAACCGAGGACCTTTCGCGTGTTAGGCGAACGTGATGACCACTACACTACAGAAACCTCATGATGTGTCACATGTGCTTTTTTCGAAGATGGCTCCATCCCATAATCTTTCCTGCAAGCAATGTGACAATCTGTGTAAATTCCACAAACAACAGATAAGAGCTCATTCGGAATGGCAGTCTGCCTACAGCTCCTTGGTACGATGGCCTTCACCTATTTCAAAAGCGACTGAAACAATAGACTGCCCAGTGTTCTTAAAATGGCAAAAAGCTGCTATTTTTGGTGGCAGACGAAACATTCTTTATTACTCTACAGGAAACCTCAATGGTCATTTGTTTTGTTTTAGTCCTTTTCTAAAGAGTTTACACCGCAAATCGCCCTGCAAGTGTACTGACCTGCTCAACAGAAAACCACATAAGAAATTTTAGCAACAACCACCTAAAGTTTCCGCCCAGTTTCGAACTGGGGACCTTTCGCGTGTGAGGCGAACGTGATGACCACTACACTACAGAAACCTCGTGATTTGTCACATGTGCTTTTTTCGAAGATGGCTCCATCCCATAATCTTTCCTGCAAGCAATGTGACAATCTGTGTAAAATCCACAAACAACAGATAAGAGCTCATTCGGAATGGCAGTCTGCCTACAGCTCCTTGGTACGATGGCCTTCACCTATTTCAAAAGTCCAAGGACTTTGTAGCGAATTTCAGCATATATATTAAAAACGGCTTCACTTGTTTCCGCCCAGTTTCGAACTGAGGATCTTTCGCGTGTAAAGCGAACGTGATAACCACTACACTACGGAAACGTGATTTGAAAAACAGTCCGACCTCTTCTAGCGTACGCTTGTTCAAAAGCGACTGAAACAATAGACTGCCCAGTGTTCTTAAAATGGCAAAAAGCTGCTATTTTTGGTGGCAGACGAAACATTCTTTATTACTCTACAGGAAACCTCAATGGTCATTTGTTTTGTTTTAGTCCTTTTCTAAAGAGTTTACACCGCAAATCGCCCTGCAAGTGTACTGACCTGCTCAACAGAAAACCACATAAGAAATTTTAGCAACTACCACCCACAGTTTCCGCCCAGTTTCAAACTGGGGACCTTTCGCGTGTGAGGCGAACGTGATAACCACTACACTACGGAAACATGTCTTCTGGGTGCATACAGAAATTTTCTGGTGCACGCTTGTTAAAAAGTGTATAAAGGAAAAGTGAGCTGAACCCTCCTATTGTGGCAAACAGTTTAAATTTTCTGTCAAAACCCGACTGCTGTTTCTGCTCGGTTTCGAGCCGAGGACCTTTCGCGTGTTAGGCGAACGTGATGACCACTACACTACAGAAACCTTGTGATGTGTCAAATGTGCTTTTTTCGAAGATGGCTCCATCCCATAATCTTTCCTGCAAGCAATGTGACTATCTGTGTAAATTCCACAAACAACAGATAAGAGCTCATTCGGAATGGCAGTCTGCCTACAGCTCCTTGGTACGATGGCCTTCACCTATTTCAAAAGTTGACGGACTTTGTAGCGAATTTCAGCATATATTTAAAAAACGGTTTCACTTGTTTCCGCCCAGTTTCGAACTGAGGACCTTTCGCGTGTAAAGCGAACGTGATAACCACTACACTACGGAAACGTGATTTGAAAAACAGTCCGACCTCTTCTAGCGTACGCTTGTTCAAAAGCGACTGAAACAATAGACTGCCCAGTGTTCTTAAAATGGCAAAAAGCTGCTATTTTTGGTGGCAGACGAAACATTCTTTATTTCTCTACAGGAACCCTCCTATTGTGGCAAACAGTTTAAATTTTCTGTCAAAACCCGACTGCTGTTTCTGCTCGGTTTCGAGCCGAGGACCTTTCGCGTTTTAGGCAAACGTGACGACCACTACACTACAGAAACCTTGTGATGTGTCACATGTGCTTTTTTCGAAGATGGCTCCATCCCATAATCTTTCCTGCAAGCAATGTGACAATCTGTGTAAATTCCACAAACAACAGATAAGAGCTCATTCGGAATGGCAGTCTGCCTACAGCTCCTTGGTACGATGGCCTTCACCTATTTCAAAAGCGTACGCTTGTTCAAAAGCGACTGAAACAATAGACTGCCCAGTGTTCTTAAAATGGCAAAAAGCTGCTATTTTTGGTGGCAGACGAAACATTCTTTATTACTCTACAGGAAACCTCAATGGTCATTTGTTTTGTTTTAGTCCTTTTCTAAAGAGTTTACACCGCAAATCGCCCTGCAAGTGTACTGACCTGCTCAACAGAAAACCAAATAAGAAATTTTAGCAACTACCACCCACAGTTTTCGCCCAGTTTCGAACTGGGGACCTTTCGCGTGTGAGGCGAACGTGATAACCACTACACTACGGAAACATGTCTTCTGGGTGCATACAGAAATCTTCTGGTGCACGCTTGTTAAAAAGTGTATAAAGGAAAAGTGAGCTGAACCCTCCTATTGTGGCAAACAGTTTAAATTTTCTGTCAAAACCCGACTGCTGTTTCTGCTCGGTTTCGAGCCCAGGACCTTTCGCGTGTTAGGCGAACGTGATGACCACTACACTACAGAAACCTCGTGATGTGTCAAATGTGCTTTTTTCGAAGATGGCTCCATCCCATAATCTTTCCTGCAAGCAATGTGACAATCTGTGTAAATTCCACAAACAACAGATAAGAGCTCATTCGGAATGGCAGTCTGCCTACAGCTCCTTGGTACGATGGCCTTCACCTATTTCAAAAGCGTACGCTTGTTCAAAAGCGACTGAAACAATAGACTGCCCAGTGTTCTTAAAATGGCAAAAAGCTGCTATTTTTGGTGGCAGACGAAACATTCTTTATTACTCTACAGGAAACCTCAATGGTCATTTGTTTTGTTTTAGTCCTTTTCTAAAGAGTTTACACCGCAAATCGCCCTGCAAGTGTACTGACCTGCTCAACAGAAAACCAAATAAGAAATTTTAGCAACTACCACCCACAGTTTTCGCCCAGTTTCGAACTGGGGACCTTTCGCGTGTGAGGCGAACGTGATAACCACTACACTACGGAAACATCTTCTGGGCGCATACAGAAATCTTCTTGTGCAAGCTTGTTAAAAAGTGTATAAAGGAAAAGTGAGCTGAACCCTCCTATTGTGGCAAACAGTTTAAATTTTCTGTCAAAACCCGACTGCTGTTTCTGCTCGGTTTCGAACCGAGGACCTTTCGCGTGTTAGGCGAACGTGATGACCACTACACTACAGAAACCTCATGATGTGTCACATGTGCTTTTTTCGAAGATGGAAAATTTTAGCAACTACCACCCACAGTTTCCACCCAGTTTCGAACTGGGGACCTTTCGCGTGTGAGGCGAACGTGATAACCACTACACTACGGAAACATGTCTTCTGGGTGCATACAGAAATCTTCTGGCGCAAGCTTATTAAAAAGTGTATAAAGGAAAAGTGAGCTGAACCCTCCTATTGTGGCAAACAGTTTAAATTTTCTGTCAAAACCCGACTGCTCTTTCTGCTCGGTTTGGAACCGAGGAACTTTCGCGTGTTAGGCGAACGTGATGACCACTACACTACAGAAACCTCATGATGTGTCACATGTGCTTTTTTCGAAGATGGAAAATTTTAGCAACTACCACCCACAGTTTCCGCCCAGTTTCGAACTGGGGACCTTTCGCGTGTGAGGCGAACGTGATAACCACTACACTACGGAAACATGTCTTCTGGGTGCATACAGAAATCTTCTGGCGCAAGCTTATTAAAAAGTGTATAAAGGAAAAGTGAGCTGAACCCTCCTATTGTGGCAAACAGTTTAAATTTTCTGTCAAAACCCGACTGCTCTTTCTGCTCGGTTTGGAACCGAGGAACTTTCGCGTGTTAGGCGAACGTGATGACCACTACACTACAGAAACCTCATGATGTGTCACATGTGCTTTTTCGAAGATGGCTCCATCCCATAATCTTTCCTGCAAGCAATGTGTCAATCTGTGTAAATTCCACAAACAACAGATAAGAGCTCATTCGGAATGGCAGTCTGCCTACAGCTCCTTGGTACGATGGCCTTCACCTATTTCAAAAGTCCAAGGACTTTGTAGCGAATTTCAGCACATATATTAAAAACGGCTTCACTTGTTTCCGCCCAGTTTCGAACTGAGGACCTTTCGCGTGTAAAGCGAACGTGATAACCACTACACTACGGAAACTTGTTTTGAAAAACAGTCCGACCTCTTCTAGCGTACGCTTGTTCAAAAGCGACTGAAACAATAGACTGCCCAGTGTTCTTAAAATGGCAAAAAGCTGCTATTTTTGGTGGCAGACGAAACATTCTTTATTACTCTACAGGAAACCTCAATGGTCATTTGTTTTGTTTTAGTCCTTTTCTAAAGAGTTTACACCGCAAATCGCCCTGCAAGTCTACTGACCTGCTCAACAGAAAACCACATAAGAAAATTTTGCAACTACCACCCACAGTTTCCGCTCAGTTTCGAACTGGGGACCTTTCGCGTGTGAGGCGAACGTGATAACCACTACACTACGGAAACATGTCTTCTGTGTGCATACAGAAATCTTCTGGTGCACGCTTATTAAAAAGTGTATAAAGGAAAAGTGAGCTGAACCCTCCTATTGTGGCAAACAGTTTAAATTTTCTGTCAAAACCCGACTGCTGTTTCTGCTCGGTTTGGAACCGAGGACCTTTCGCGTGTTAGGCGAACGTGATGACCACTACACTACAGAAACCTCATGATGTGTCACATGTGCTTTTTCGAAGATGGCTCCATCCCATAATCTTTCCTGCAAGCAATGTGACAATCTGTGTAAATTCCACAAACAACAGATAAGAGCTCATTCGGAATGGCAGTCTGCCTACAGCTCCTTGGTACGATGGCCTTCACCTATTTCAAAAGTCCAAGGACTTTGTAGCGAATTTCAGCATATATATTAAAAACGGCTTCACTTGTTTCCGCCCAGTTTCGAAATGAGGACCTTTCGCGTGTAAAGCGAACGTGATAACAACTACACTACGGAAACTTGATTTGAAAAAAAGGTTTACAGAAACCTCATGATGTGTCACATGTGCTTTTTCGAAGATGGCTCCATCCCATAATCTTTCCTGCAAGCAATGTGACAATCTGTGTAAATTCCACAAACAACAGATAAGAGCTCATTCGGAATGGCAGTCTGCCTACAGCTCCTTGGTACGATGGCCTTCACCTATTTCAAAAGTCCAAGGACTTTGTAGCGAATTTCAGCATATATATTAAAAACGGCTTCACTTGTTTCCGCCCAGTTTCGAAATGAGGACCTTTCGCGTGTAAAGCGAACGTGATAACCACTACACTACGGAAACTTGATTTGAAAAAAAGGTTTACAGAAACCTCATGATGTGTCACATGTGCTTTTTCGAAGATGGCTCCATCCCATAATCTTTCCTGCAAGCAATGTGACAATCTGTGTAAATTCCACAAACAACAGATAAGAGCTCATTCGGAATGGCAGTCTGCCTACAGCTCCTTGGTACGATGTTCTTCACCTATTTCAAAAGTCCAAGGACTTTGTAGCGAATTTCAGCATATATATTAAAAACGGCTTCACTTGTTTCCGCCCAGTTTCGAACTGAGGACCTTTCGCGTGTAAAGCGAACGTGATAACCACTACACTACGGAAACTTGATTTGAAAAACAGTCCGACCTCTTCTAGCGTACGCTTGTTCAAAAGCGACTGAAACAATAGACTGCCCAGTGTTCTTAAAATGGCAAAAAGCTGCTATTTTTGGTGGCAGACGAAACATTCTTTATTACTCTACAGGAAACCTCAATGGTC